TTTACCGTTTGTCCCTTAAAGTCTCGTTACAGTAATGCGTCAAACATTTTTAGGAGGTTCTGAGCTAAGATAAGATAAAAGTTTTTCACAAGAATTACATTCAGAGCGTTCAGAGTCACATGCAGCCACACTACGAAGCAATCTTGTCAGCAGAAAGGCTTCATTCAGTGACAGTACTTAGTTCATGTGTACTTCACAACAGTCACGTAACACAGGCATCTTTTTACGACAGACAAACTTTCACAAAACGTCAGTGGACACTCGGCCCTTAAAACGATTACAAATAACGCTCTGGAAATCGATCGCACATACGAGTTATGCCTTTAGATTCGAACACAGGTCCCTCAGTGCGGCCATATTGGTTATGTCAGCGCCTGCGCGGGCGGGGGGCGGAGCCCGTCTAATCAGCGCGCGCGGTGGGTGGTGTCAGGCTGTCAGTGGGGAGGCGCCATGCAGCCAGGCAAGTCGTTCCTCATCAGGGACCTGCTAGGGGATGTGTTGGTGCCAGGTGCGTGTTCATTCACTTCCATTGTCTTTTTGTTCACACATTCGATTCAGTTTCTGGTTTTCCTTCTTTGTTGATCGTTAATTATCGGCGAGCAATCTCTTGTTTCTTAAGTTTCTTTCTTAAAATTATTTTCAGAGGATTCCGAAAGAATGTGGTTATCGTTATTATTAGTATTATCATTTTCTGAAACTCGCTCCCACTTCAAACTTGCATTCGGAATCTTAGAGCCAACTCGTCACGTGATATTGCATGCATATTCATCCGGAACCTACGACTTATATATGACTTTTGCTACGAATCAAATCTCTTGAGACTGGTGGTTGCTGCCACAAAACTATTTTCAGTTCGCTCCCTCTCTAAACCCACTTATTAAAACGAAACTGTCTTCCCCGTTATCTAACTAACAAACTATATGACTTACCGAACACGAAGGTTCATCACCGAATTAACCAAAGCCCTCCATCCAAATATTATTCTCATTGTTTCTCTAATTCCTATTATAATTTTTATTTAGTATTGTTATTGTAAATTTAATCGTTGTTGTTAGGCCTATTGTCATTTATGTTATCCTTGTTGTTTTATTGTTTTTATCAATGTACTCCAAAGAGTATGCCTTTCCAATCTTGTTATAGTAGACATCATCATCATCATCATCATCATCATCATCATCAGTAGTAGGATAACCACAAAACGCAAAAATTAATGCACAGCTCGAGGGCAGTGTTTTCTGTCATTCCACGTGTTCTGTCCTTGAAACTATCGATCAACTATCAATTTTTAGGCCTACTGGGAGTCTGTATTAAAAGTTGTAAAACTATTCTTTACTTGAGATGATAAAGTTGCGTCATATTGTGATAAATATATATTTGTTTAAATCTTGTCAGTCTAATCACAATAAAATTCTATTAAATATTAAAATATTACTATAAT